GGAAGGAGGCTCCGAGGCCCCACGAGGGGCGTGGGATCTCAACGTAGGACGCTGTGAATGACGCGGGGCAGTGGCAGGAAACACAGTCAGGCGCCAGCATCACATGTATCGCAGTGTGGACACTCGTTACAGGCACGTACAGACAGACGGACAGACAAACAGAAGGACGGCCATATGCATCTAGGTCACGCGGACTGGCGCCGGCGGCCGCCGAGTCTGCTGAGACGGAGTACGGAGAGTCGCCGAGTCTGCTGAGACGGAGTACGGAGAGCCGCTGAGTGCGGAGCTGCGCTCGGGTGCCCGCGCCGCCGAATTAACGGCAATTATTGATGGGGCGCGGTCACCGGCCGGGGCAACGCGTGCAGGGACGCCCCGCCGTGTCAGGGGTCGTCCGGGACGACTGCCCCCCGGCTGCTGTCTGGTCGGCGCTGTTCGGACCCACGGCATCCCCGCTCGGCCGTGGCTGACCGCCCTGGAGGCCTGCGGCCGGCGCACATGTCCTGACCCCTCTGCCCCCCCCCCCGCTCCGCGGCACTGCAGGGACCTCTGCTCCCCCCGCTTCTCGTCCCTGCAGTGCCGCGGAGCCGAGAGGAGGAGAGGAGTGTGGGGGGGGGGGGGGGTGCCGAGAGACCGCTCAGGCAATGAGCCCCGACATTGACGCAGCACGGGGCGGTCGATGGTGCCATTGAATGGGCATTGATTGGCGCGGTGGTCGGACGCGGAGAACACACAGGCCGACAAAGGTCACCGGCGCACGGGAGAGCCTGCCCCTCCCCTCCACCGGAGCCAGGCCGTTTTAGGGGGAGGGGGTGCGTGCTGAGCGACTGGCGAGTGGGCGACCCACTGACCCGGTGCCTCTGCTGATACGATTGGACGGGCGGCCATTGATCGCCAGCCGGTGGGAGTGCTCAGTTTGCGGAGCGAGACAGGGATTCGTGGGTGGCTTTGATGTGCAAAATGATGCGATGGTTCGTTGGGTCGATCTTGCCTTATCTCAGGAGAAAGTTTCGTGGTGGGATGTGGAGAGCATGAATTTATCTGAAGTGAGGCGTGGTCGAAAACGGAGTGTATCAAGACTGGGCCTGGAATGATAGTTGTACATGCAGCGGCGCTAATTCATACCTGTGGGCTATGATATATGTGGAACAAACTTCATACACACCATTTAAAATACACTGCATGAGCAAATATGGCAGTAATAGAGTATGTCATTGCTGTTTGCATGTTACCGGAGAGCAATGCAAGTTAACCCAACGTAGAGGCTTGACTTGCACTTTCCCACTGCTGCTCTGGATTATGAGGAATATTCTGCAGTATTGGCTACACTAAGAGCAATTTCGCCAGCCTCAGCGCAAACAACAACGAAATAACCGCCGCTGGTGCATACGCTTCCCACACAAAAACAGTCAGCGTGGCAACCCTTCGGCTGTTCGCCACACAGAAGCGATCCCATCCAGGTACGCCGGATCTGTTGTTTCTATAGCCTCGGCCAGGTCTGGCCAGGTCCACGCCCTAATAAGCGGCTTGTTTACGCTATGGTGCTGGTCACACGCCAGCGTGGAATAATTTCCCAGCGAATACGTGACCCAGTGCCGTGACCACCTCCGGCGGGGGAGCATCCATAAAACATGCATATTGGATCGTGTCCAGGGTCATGGGGCCTCGTCTGTCGTGCTCCATGGCCGTGGCTGGGACCTTGCCCGCCCCGTCCCGCACTGACCGGGCAGGGTCACCGGAACAAGCAGGCGAAAAGCACGGTTAAAAATTTCCGGCAGTGGTTGACGAGGTCGCGATAAAACCGAGCCTTGAAGTCATTAGCTTGGTGAATATTAGATGCTATCGGAACATAGTTAATAGTTGCGCTTAAACTAGGTAAAGGCGCACCCAGGCTGACGGTGGCTGGTGCCATGCACGGCGAATACACTGTAACTGGGTAAATGAAGGAATTTTTGTGTTTGAAGGCCAATAGTGAGGACGTTAATTTCATATTTGTTCGGGGAACGACGCTAAGCCAAGTTACGGGACAGCAATTTCATGTACAAAGCTTGAAGAAAATACCGGGGGATTTAAATAAGAATCTGTAAAGAAATCGTCAAATGGTGTTGCAACCAAGCCCAGTCCGCTATTCTATATCTAGGACCGCAAATGTGTAAAGCACCAGCCGGACACGATCCGGTCGGCTGTGATTCAGAGCCCGTCTGGTCCACGGTGCTCGTCCCCAGGTGACAGAAGGCCGTGACAGCGCGTCAGGGCTGCGCTGCCCCATCCCGTCCGGTGGGGTCCAATGGCCACGAGAGCGCCGTCGTGGCACGAAGGCTGGGATCGCGGGTGATGCCTTCCAGTCACGATGGGCGGTGGGGGGAGGGGGGGGGACGCCGACAGTAGTTCCTGACCTTTTCAGGACATTTCTTTCCATGCGCTGCCATAGGCCAAATGTTGAAATTTGAAGGAGCTGGAAGTTGCGGGCCGGGTACCTTCAAAGCATACATAGCACTTTCCACGGTGGAAACCAGCGGCGGAGCCGATGGAAGCGGCTGAAGCCTTGTCTTCCAAAACGTCTAAAACGCCTCAAACATCGAAACACGGGTCACTAAGCCTCAAAATAGGAGTCCAAACTTACAAAGTCCTCCGTATTCAAACAGCTGGTCCTAAGTGGCCATCAGAGAGGTGAGCTAAGGGAGGAAGGGGCCAGGGGGGCCAGAAGGCCTCCCCTGGCCCGACGTGGCCTTTTCCTGAGCGACATCCTGTCAACGCCTTCGACTGAGGTGCAGTATTAGTGGACAAACCAGAAGCTCCTGGAATTGTTGTCTGGTAAGCAAGGAACAACATTACAGGTGACAGGCTCGGGAAAGCCGACAAATCCACGTGCTTGATCCAACCCATCGCCGTCATCATCGCCACCTTTCCGCCGATTGGTATGCGTGGGTGCATTCATGCGATAAATAGGACACGCCATTCATAGTCGAGCTACATGGCATTTATGGTTTCAACGGCAACTTATGACAAACTCCAACCCAGCTGATGAATTTAGACCTCCGGGCACGCTCACCGAATCTGAGCGTCACTTTAAAGTCCGCTTGGTGCTGAAGGCAACCGAGGCCTGGGACAGTGCAGCGTGTGGAGCCACACTAAAGCTGATAATCAGGGGATCAGGACAGAGTGTCAGCCAGAGGGGCGTTTGAGCCGAGAGCTGATTAGACTTGTTCCAGTTTGGGCGTCGAGCCGCTAGCACAGTTCCATCAAGCTCGTACGATCAGTGGTTATTATCTGAGAGCTATTCTCCAGCCTGCTTGACGAGAAGTGACTGTTCGCTATCTAAATTCCCCATATGATTTGAAAAGACAACCGTGACAACACAGGGTACACTGGAAATAAGGACTCTTTTTAATTGGGCGGCGCAGCAGTCGTTACGGCATTTAGCAGGGGAAAGGCGCAGCCCGCGCCCGTCGAAGCAAACTCCTCCTGATGTTCAACGATGATCCCGATTGCATAAAGATCTACGTAAAGACACTATAACTGGTCCCAATGAGTGACAGTCTTTAACACTCTGAGCAGACTGCACCGAATGACGTGATGAAGTGAGGACGGGCTCACCCCATCACTGGCTGTCCTGCCTCCAGGACATCACGTCCCGAATAGGACGACGCTCCTCAAGAAGCATACAGTGGAGCCAAGCGATATACCTCCCCTCCACCCTGCCCTCCTTCTCCTCTGAGGGCACACCGTGTGACATCTTGCAATGGAGCCCGAAGCCACATACTGATCTGTCTCTCCCTCCCTCCTCAGTGAAGACGCGACGAGAAGAACTTCCGTAAGATGCTAAATCAGTGACGCTCATGCTGAGGATATCAAAGCGGCCACATACAATCGGAAGTTTCACAAGTTTTTGTGAAATGCTCCGGGTTTTCGCCAGGAACGTTCCTGATTGTTGTCTGGCGAGTCTAAAAAACTGGCTAAACAAAAGTCATCCACGCGTCACTCCCCAAACAACAGCCGACGCCCTAACATCACCCAGCCAAATCCTCATGTTATAAACATCACCCAGCAACAGTCCGGCGCTCCAAACATCACACAGCCACATCACTCGCTCCAAACATCACCCAGCAACGGTCATAACTCTCCAAAAACATCACACAGCCACATCTCTCGCTCCAGACATCACCTAGTCACATCCCCATGTTATATCCAGACCAAGTGACATTCATCATCAAGGCGAATACTCCAGACATCATCCAGCCAAAGCCTGACGCTCCAGGTACCGTCGGCGCCGTCTAACGCCCCATCCGGTCCGCCCCACCCGCGCTCGCTGGCACACCTACCTCCTGGAAGCGGGCCCGACGGTGCTTGAGCATCGGCGAGCCCTGCTGACTGGCGGCACCCTCTGGCGGCGGCGGGTCGCCGGCGCTGGCTATGCGCGGCCGGCGCCGCGGCGAACAACGCGGGCTCTCGCGGTGCGCCACCGGCCCGTCGCCGTCCAGCGGGTTGACGTAGAGGTTGCTGTCGGCAGTGAGGTCGCCCTCGGAGGGGAACGGGTGCGTGGGGCAGCTGGTGAAGGTGTCACTGCTCTCCAGACTGAGCAGGTCCAGGTTGGTCTGCGAGAGCGCCTGGAGCTCGATGGGTGCGGCGGCGGAGCGGCTCGGCTCGGAGCTCTGGCGGCGCGGCCCGGCCGGCTCCAGAAAGTCCTGCGGCGCAGGGCAGGTCAGCCGCCGGCCGGGACGCCTGCTGAGAAGCAAGGGACCACGTAACTGTGGGCTGACTAGAGGCAGAGTTCAGTGTGCCATGAGCCAGCTGCGGGGCCAACTGGCCTTGTCTGTCGTGCAGGCTGGCTGAGATGTCAGTCTACCTTGAGCTGAGAAGCCGTTTTACCTTGAGCTGGCTTGGCGCAGAGCACACTCTGCCGCAGGTCGCTTCGGGATCAAAGCCCAGTTTACCGTTGGTCGTTCGTGTACAGAGCCCAGCGGTCTGTGTCTCGACTATTGGGGTGAGAGGTGGGTCAGCTTGAGATGTGACGATCGACGGGCTAGATCTCCCGCAGACCGGCTGGCGGGACAGACAGGAGTCTACCGTGGGCCAGCTGGGAGCGAGAGCTCGGTAACCATGGGGTCTGACTGGCTCGGTCTGCTGTGGACCAGTTGAGGGCCAGCTGGAATCAGAGGACAGCTGACGAGGAGTCAGAAGATAGCTGACAAAGAGCCCGGGGACTGCTGATATGGAGTCAGAACATGGCTGACAAGAAGTCCGAGGACTGCTGATGAGGAGTCAGAAGATAGCTGACAGGGAGCCCGAGGGCTGATGAGGAGTCAGGGGACAGCTGATGAGGAATCAGAGGACAGCTGTTGGAGAATCAGAAGATAGCTGACAAGGAGCCCGAGGACAGCTGATGAGCCAGAGGGCAGCTGGTGAGGAGTCAGAGGACAGCTGACGGGGAGCCCGATAACAGCTGATGAGGAGTCAAAGGACAGATAATGAGAAGTCAGAGGACAGCTGGCGAGGAGTCAGAGGGCAGCTGGTGAGGAGCCAGAGGACAGCTGATGAGTCAGAGGACAGCTGGCGAGGAGTCAAAGGGCAGCTGATGAGTAGTCACAGGGCAGCTGATGAGGAGTCAGAACACAGCTGCCATGTCTGTGTCGCGGGACGCTGAGGCGTCTTCAGAGCAATGGGCCAGCTCAGGTTGGGAGCGGGCTGGTCTGGTGCTGGGCAGAGCCACCCTGCTGTCGACCGAGGCCGGGCGTCGAGATGGGTAGTGGGTGACAGGACACCTAGCACAGACCTATACACCCGATCGCGCATGGTCTGCGGTAAAGGGCACGGTCCAGATCTTCGTAAAGATGACAGATCAGCATTAACATCGGTAACGTGGGCTTCGGGACAGTGTTTTCTGAGGTTCGGAGGTTCGCAGCACAGGGACAGAGCCGAGGTTTGGCCAGCATCGGTGTCGGTAGAGCAGGGTGGAAGCTCGGCAGGGGAAGAAGCGGAGCTGAGGCTAGCCTTAGGCAGGGAGCGGACCTCCTGACAAGTCGCGCTGGACCCTATTTATTTTGAGTTTTTGCTTTTTTCACAAAAAGGGAACACGACGCATCCCGCTACGCTCTTTTATGGAGCGTACCGCCAGCGACTGCATTGGTCATATGCCAGCTGTGCGACCAGTGCGGTGTAACGTGGAGCCAGGCATCGAGAGGGTGTTGGGAGGGGTGAAATATGTACTTCTCAGGCCATCTTGATGCTTCAGGACGCTACAAACATAAGACGCCGAGTTATTAGCTTTCTGATTCCATTGTCGCCATGCAGGTAAGTTCTGTTTGCTGTATGTCCGATACCAAAATAACATGACGCCATTTTTGTGCTTAGCGCATAACATATCAATGACACACCATACCATGTCATGCTCATTTATCATAGCGACATGGCAGTTCGTTACAACACGCATGTTTTTGTTCTTCGGTGCACCAGTGCAAAGGGTCATTATCGGATGATACGTACATTTTTGCATGAGCCGAAATGTGAATGGCCAGGTCGGTGAACCGCTTTTCGATTACCGCAGCTTTTCTGGAAAATGCCCTCGGCGGTGGCGCAGATCGCTCCATTGCGTACCCCCCTACCATGACGTTTGTTTTTTTGTCGACGAGAACTTTCTCACGATGGTGCACAGCTGTTTTCTTCCTGTAATTGACGCACCAGATGCTCGTATTGGTGCGCAAGTGACATGCTGTTCTAAAAAAAATGCTTCCGTGTAAGCGCGTTAAGACTAAATTCAGCGGTCCTTATGGACGGATTATGATTGGCAATGGTATCAATCGGAAACAATATACAAAGGTTGTTGTTGTACATGTCATATACAGAGCTTGTTACTTTTGGACGTATTTCATTGCATTTGACAAAGGAGATGTACAAAGGAGTAATGAGCAAGATACGCTGATCGTTACCTCAGTGAAGGCCAATACAGTAGGTAACAAATTTAATCAAATCAGTACTCTCAGAAATTATATGAGCTCCGCTGGTACAGATACTGGTATTTATATTATATAATATATATATATATATATATATATATATGTGTGTGTGTGTATATGTATATATATATATTTGCATAAATTCAACAGATATACAAACTATGCCCAAGCATAAAAGCTATACACCCATAAACAAACTACTCTAATCAGCTATAGGAACGTATAAAAATTAGGGTCTTCAAAATTATTAAGCCACCAAATAACGTTAAAATCATTGTCAACAGCCCTCCTCTAGAACTACGTCCACCTTCCGAAGACATCACTTCCAACGTGCCCGCCGGATGACTAGAATCACGTATGCGCACAGTTCACGCATATTTTTTCACACTTATGTGACTGCATAGTGTTTTGGCAGTTCCATGAAATGTGCCCACAGATTCATTCGGACCCAAACCAACACTGAAATCCGGGACCGCGACCCACGGATATGTCAATCTTTAACGCCATCGTTTGAAGATACTGCAGGGAAACAAGCCGTACTTTCAGTGCTCTGCTCGTCGTCTCCAAACTAGAGCGGCGTGACCCTGAAAGCCATGACAACCCAGGGACGGCAGAATACTTGGTGGCAATTGCTAGGGATCACCAGTAATGCGCCACAAATGTGCATATGTACAGATCAAATGGAACTATGTGGGACAGAGGGAAACGGCCAGCCTCTCGTGGAAAAATGTTATGCTAGGTATATCGCCTGCGCTAGTTTCAGACGTGATGCGGGCCGAATCTCTTGGCAACGGGGAAACGGACGCCCTGGTCACCCATCAGTGTTTGAACCGACATCCCATCTCCGGTAAAGCCATGATGAGCTCCGTATGCTTTTTCAGTGTGTGCGCATGCGCGATCAGGCCTGACAATCAGCAACGGCAGTCGTCTGCTGAACACGACGCTGCCTAGATGCCACGCAATGCGGTGTAGCTAGAAACTCATGGCTCATGTTTGCCACTTGCACTGCCCCTTCGGTTAGCCTCTACACGTCCGTCATCGACCCACAAGGGCGGACGGTTGCGCAAGCCACGGCTGCCGGCCGACAGCAGCCCCTGGCAGGCGTTTGTCTGACGTCGCTCGGCCTGGCGGCTTCTGATGCCCGATCGCAGCGCTGTGCACCAGCGCCAGCGCGCGCGCGCCTGCTCTGACCGCCGCCAGGCGGCGGACGCGCGGTTGCCCGTCGGCCCGGCAGGAGCAGGCCGCGTTGCCGGAGCGGCCGCCTTCACCTGCCGACGACCAGCGCGTGACGGCACCGGTGCGTCGTTAATCCCAGCTGACGATCGTTTTCCCATTGATCGCGCACACATGACGCCTCGTCATCATAGCGTCGTCGGACACCATCATCTAGCCGTGCCATCAGCCGCGGCCGCCGGGTCGCGCGGCCGGCCACCCCCATCGCTCGCGCCCGACAGAGTCACTCTGTCGTCCGTCGCGTCGAGAGCGACAATTTGCCGAGATATCATCAGTGGCCGGCGGCCCGCGGCGTTCATCAATAACGCATCCCTGCAGCCGAGCGTTCATCAATAACGCATCGCCGCAGCCGCCTGTGGCCGCCCAGCTTAGTCGCCACGAGCGACGCACCGCTGTTCATTGCGAGCGTTGGGCCGCCGCGCCGCCAGCGAGAGCCCACCCGGCTCCAGAGGCGACGCGACCCGCCGACGCCATCGTTTCCGCGGGCCGACCGCCAGAGAGCAACAAACTTGTCGGCCGCCGGCGGGGCGGGCGGGCGGCGTCGTTTTTCCGGAGGCACTGGCCCAGTTTCGGGCCCGGCAGGCGGGGCAAAACACGGTCGCCGTCGCAGTGACAGAGCGCCGGGTCGTGGCGCCTGCCCTCTGGAGCCGCGTGTGTAAACAGCCGGACGCGCGGCCACCGGCGGGACACGAGCCAGGCCGGCACTGTTGTGACGGCCGAGGGGCCATAAAGCCGCACCGCCGCCGAAATTGCCCGCCTCGCCCCACTGGCGGCCGCCGGCCGGCCCAGAGGCGCGGCGCTGGGCCAGCGTGCCAGCGGCGCAATCGTCATTTGTTTCTGGTGCGGCGCTCGGTCCAGTGCACCGGGGCCGGCGCACCGAACCATCGAAGCACTGGCGGGTTCACCTCGATCCACGCACGGCCGCCGCCGCGGGGCGATGGCAAGAGATCGAAGCCTGCCACGTTTGGACGGCGGGAAGCCCGCTTTGATGCAAGAGCCTGGGTATTGAGCTGGCGCCGCGGACGTCACCGTCGTCGGTACTGCGCGTCAGCGGCGGCTGGCACGAGGATTGCGTGGACTTGGTAGGGCACCGACGGCCGCCATTCCAGCCGCGGGCGCTGATACGGCCAGACTCTGTGACCTCTGACCTCGGGCAGGCAACCCGTGCTGCCGCCTAGGGAGAGGGCCGGCGGCGAGGACGAGGTGCAGTGCCGCTGGCTTACCATGGATGATGGAAGAGCATGTCGGATTTGGCCGGTAACCGAGGATGTGAACGTGTTCGGCAGCTTTAGGTCGGGGACGGGTGCAGGGGGATAGTGGCCCTGTTGTTCCCTCGGCTGGGCTCTACTACCACACATTCGGCACGAGGTTGTTACTTACCGGTGAGAAGTCACGTCAACTGCAATGCGACAGAAACAGGGTCATGATGCACAGCCACCTGCAGCGTGGCTCATTCGATGGATCTTTGCAGCTACGCTTACCTGAGATGAAGGTGAGTATCAAAATATTGAGCATTTATTCGGTTTTCTCCTGCAGGGGGATCTCCTCCCCCTTCTCAGCCCCCTTCTCGCCGACCTCGCGCGCCTGGAGGGCCTGCAACCAGCACAGCGCGACCTGTCGGTACCGGCACGACACCGCCGGAGGGTGACTGGACGACCCTCCGGAGGACGCCGACACCGCCGGTCCGGAGCTAACTCATTGCAGAAGATCCGAGCCAGAGTGGTGCGCGCGGCGCTGGCGCCGCAGCTGCGCCCGCGCCCGCCGCGGGGGCGCCACGCCCGACATGAGTAGTGGAGAAAAACACCAACTAAGCGGCAGACAGGAGGGGGAGAGAACCCAGGGTGCGCGCACGCGGGGCGTGCGCCGTGAGTCGGCCAGATGCCATGCAATGGGTTAGCTGCGCTGGACCGCCGACAGGCCTCGTCTGCGCCGCCGCTGACGGCCCGCCCGTTCCGAACTAACCGAACCCTCCCAGCACCCAGTCGTGGACTGGGCCAGCCAACCAGCGTGGCCGGTGTGGTGGTGGGCGAGGGGAAAACCAATCATCGAAAGGAAATCAATGTGAGTGGCTATATTAGTAGAAAGCGTAGCACGCCACATCCACAGGCACCATAAACGATGGGGTTCCGCCGCCCTGTGAGACATGCAGCGAGCGACCTTTTGCAGGGAAATTAATTTGGGTGAGTTATAGAGGAAATGTGAGAATTGACCATCCGGAGGCAATTCATATCCGGTTTTACGCATGAGCGGCCAACAGAAACGAAAGAAATACGCTAACTGAACGGTCGGTGGTAAAAACGAAGCATGGCAATGTCGGAAAATAACGGGCGTGAAGGCTAAAAACGCAGTCCAAGCCCTTTGTGCAGCAAATCAATAGTTAATAACACAGAAGACCTGTGGTTTTTCCCTGACCACTGACGGCGATCCGTAATGCTGCAGATTTTCTTGCCCCTTTGCTGCTCCGAACTCACTTCCGTCGCCGGAAATCGGCACTTCCTGCCGGTTTCGTCAGTGGGTTGGTCGCGCGCCATCGTGGGGGTCAGCGCCCAGGCTATCGACCTTGACCCCGTTGACCCCGGTCGAAGGTGAGTGAGGTTCAGAGTACTAACCGTCAAGGCTGGACTTCCGGCTTCGCCGCGCTCTGCCGTCGCCTCCGCTGCCACTCTTCCGTGGAGAATCAGTTCGGAGCAAGGCAGAAACAGAAAAAAGAAGAGAGGAGGAAGACTGCAGAAAGCATGCCAAGACTCGCGGCAGCTGAGAGTGGTCGCCATGCAGCTAGGAAGCCAGCAGAAAGCCAGCCGGCTAGGCTTCAGGGTGCAGAGACTCTAGGCTTCGTGCGGGAGAGGGCAGCGGCACTCTGGCTCGGATCTATCACGCCTCATGCTCCTGGCGGGCTAGGGCGCACCCCTAACGGCACGTAGCGCTAATGTACCTCTACACATGTCACTCGGCGGGGAGGGCGCCGGCGGCCGCCCCACGGACGCCGGCGAGAGGTGCCGCGACCCGCACCGGCCCCGCGCCGGCCAGAGCTCAAGCCAGGCCGGGTGGTCCGTCGGCGAGCTCTGAGCGGCGGCCCGCCGGCGGCTGCCGCGGCTCCCGGCGCCGCCGAGGAGGCTCGCGTCTCCTCGCGCGACGAGGCGCGCGAGCGGCGGACTCGCGCCAGCGAGGCTCCGACTGGAGCGGCGTCCGGGGTCGGCCGGGCGCCCTCCCGAGCCGCATCCCACAGCTCGGCACATCGTGTTCCAATCAAGCAGGTCTACTGCCTTACGACAGCTGGCCTGCGACATCCAACGAGTACACTTGGCGGCGGCACCGGCAGCCGCAGTCTCTCGGTACCTTCCCGCAGGTGCAAAAGCAACATTCTACAGAAACGCGTTTGGTCGCGCGCCGCTCCTTTTTCGGCCTGTCCTTGGCTAACCGCGTCCAATTTCGGGGTGAAGCCTACGAAACAGAAACGCAGAACCGTGGCTGCGGGCAGTGGAAGTGAACGGTGCGCTCACTCAGACGGTCTCAAGGTGTGCTACTGCTCCTCTGATATGCCAGCCTGTGAGACATCAGCGATGCGACATGCTGATTTGAGGCCTGGAAGATATAGCTTGCCAAGAAAAGAGTTCGTAGAAGCTAGCGCAGAAAGACGCGGGCACAAAGCCTGCATAATAACCGCCCTGAAAAGTACTTGGTTCGGGTACCACAAAAATATACTGGAATACCACCCGTTGCACAAATATTAAAGAATTTGGGTGTCCGAATACCTGGTAATGTTTTTTTCAAGCGGTTCCGCCATACGGTGTTGATACTCGGAACGGTTCCACCATACACTGGCAGAGGACACGTCATGAGCGACTCAAAGAACGATTGGCCCATGAATGTGCATTTTATGTGGCATCTAAAACACATCCGTTTTACCAGTGCGTGGTACCCGAACTCAATACGACACTTCCAAAATGGACAATTTTGTGCCATCCAACATACAACCGTGCAATTAGTTCGTGACGGCTGATAAGGTTTGGCGTAATAGAATGGTGTGTGCCTGGGTGTGTCTTTCGGCGTGCAGTTGTGAACCGTTTTTGACATGCCCATTTTCTATTCACTTCTTTGTTGAGTTTCGCTGCTTTTAGCGAGCAGGCAGATGTTTTTGTTTGTTTGTTACACAAGTAACTTGCTTCGTTTGATGTCATGCTTGGATAAAACATGTACACCACACTATTCAACGGTATATAAACGTTAGCTGACATTAAAACGCATTTTTGTCGGTGGTCTGTTTCAGACTTTTGACCCAGCACAGTCGACAAGAGCTCGGAGTGCGAAACGCAACAGTAACGGGCCCGTCTCCGACACCATACCACAGCACTGACCAATTTCGCTGACAGCGCATCCGGCCCTCTAGCACGGAGCCGACATGCGTCGCCAGCGCGTCCCTGGCGTCCATGCCGGCAGCTGGTGACAACAGCGGCGCCGCGGGCGCCTCCGTCTGTTCGGTGTCGGCTGACGGAGCGCGCCGACCACTCACCGCGGGCCGCGGCGAGTTGAGCGTGTTGGCCACGCCCTCGGCGCCCGAGTCGGCCGGTTCGCGCTCGCCGGGATTGGGTGAGCCGGGCGCCACCAGCCCTTGGCTGTTCTTCCTGAAACACGGCGGCGCCGCAGCGTCATGTGCACCGTCTTGCGAAGTCTGAGGCTGTAGCGCGGTCAGGAATCTCGTTCGAAATAATCTAACGAGAAAAGATAAAAGAGAAGGTTAAAAGCGAAGGTGCATGAGAATAAAGGAAAAAATGAGGTCAAGCAGCTAAGTTCACCGGCATCCAGTGTAGTAAGTAAGACCAAAAGAGTGATAGATGAAGATCGACAGGGCGAAAATAAACCGGGAGAGAAAAGGGCGGATGTCGAAGCACTGCTGGTCAGAGGACATGAACGGCGGCAGGTGAGGGTTGCACCAGCCCGTCGGACGATACTCGACTGACGGGCGGCCGGAGACTGCTGGCGAGGCCTCCTCAGCGAGAGCGAGCTAGCCTTGTCAGGCAAGTGAATGCGAAGACCGAAGGCTTCTATGCTACTGTTTTGATGCTCACATCGCAGGTATATTCCATGCTGCTCTCAGGAGGCCAACATCATGGAACCACCAGCCGCCGGAATATGGTGCGATGACTGTAACATCGTCACACCTTCCATGCCTCGTGATTTGTGGTGTCACGGACTCCCAACTCAAACTGACGAGCCAATATAACAAGATTAGCAACAGAATACTAGCTCCAACTATTATAGATATCTTATATGGTTGTAAAAGACCCCTAGTGGATGTTTTTATTCGACACCCGACCACCATTCACGAAGACGGGGAGGGTACCGTCGATGCTTGTGGTAATCGATACAGACGACTGTAGCACAGGGTCTTCCTCAAAATCGTTAGGCATTCAGCACGTGCACTGAATATATTCCTGTCGAACTTGTGTTTTGTGTTTGTTAACAACCAAGCAACGGAGAAATATAGTTTTCTTATTACTTTTTTAAAAGTAACTTGGTTATGTTCTAACTCAGTTCCTATGCGTTAATGATCTATGATGAACGACTGAGATATTTCAACTGGTACATAATAAATCCATTAAGATGGATTATCTAGACTGAGCAATTTCAATCGGAAAATAATAACTGCATTAAGATGGAACGTCTAGTCAAATTGCTCCACAGCGCACTTCAATGAACGAATGAAATAGTGAAATCTGTGCGGGAGGCCTACATTTACTGACTCCACTTCAGGCGAATCAGCAACTTTAAGTTGGTCACAGCAGTTTGATTAGCATACCAGTTCTTTGTGGCTTCATTTAATCGTCGAAACGTCATCAACGTTTCATTAAACTTAACACATTAGCGAAAATTGATAACTGACAAGAGTGTATACTCTACTGCTTCAGTGCGCTGGGATATCGAATAACAGCTTGCCGAGATGTATCATTCATTGTGATTGAAATGATAATCCATCAGACGTGAAAATGATTTGGTGCCTTCCGCATGCGCCATAAAATCGAGCGGAATAAAGAAGTACATAGTGTAGTAACACTTTAGGTGTCAAGCCATTCATCGGACTTGGGTAGCCGTGTGATCGAGAACTTGTGTTTGAAGTGTCTTGGAGAGCCTTAATTGAATGAAATACTCAGCGACAGCTGACCAATGCGCAATACCGACCACGGCGTGCGCACACTGCACAACACAATGCGAGTGTTAACTATGCCACATGACGCACAACAACGATGCAAGGCGATAGTGTCCGGCTCCATCGTTGCTCGTATGCTAGTATGTTTCGATCGCTGGAAAAGAACCACTATTCTAATACAGACGAAGACACTTCTGAGCTCATGCATTTTTAAGGAAAGCTTCAAAGTGTAGGCAATCTGCAGTTCCAGCAGCGCGTTGGATGAAATAATAAAGCACACTGCCACGCGCCCCGGTATACGTTACCTGGGTGGTCGTGGGGAACATTTTCGAAAATAGGAGATATGGGCTGCATACACGCACTCGTTTCCGGCTGGAACGGCGCGCCACCTTTCCTCCTAAGTACGCTATTTCATCAGCTTATATACGCGTACCAGTCCATACGCATTACACACCTGATACGATGACGGCATCACGTTCTGCTCAAAGTAAAATCAACATCTCTGTACGACATTCTGCCTTTTCGGCTCCAAGCCAACTCATTTCCGAGAGCGCTCATTTGTACAAAAGCCTAACGACTATCGTTACTACATGGCACACCAGTATCAATGCTTGTGAAACTGAGGGCAAAGTGATCCGTAGAACATTACATGGTTCTGATCATCTTGTTTCCCGCAACCACATTTATCGTATAATGCACAGGTACATTGCGCGATGCGATTACCAGAGCTGCAATTAAGCCAGCGATCAACATGTCTGTCGATGGCTTCGGGCTGCTGGGGTCTTGCCTCTTTTAGACAGTGTTTAGCTAAACAACGCAACTCAGACGCAACGTCCAAAATGTTGAAATGAAGCCATTATGCCCTTGCATGCAATTTCCATCCAAGGCTCATGTATGTACCCCCATGAAACAGCATCGCCGATTATTTCCAATTGATCGTGTTCATCTTTTCAATGGGGCAAATTGTTTACGGCTCCGGCTGGTCATGCAAAGCGGTTCCATTTCCAGCGGGTGTGTGTTATTTGCGATGTGTGTGTGCCACCCAATCCGTTGGCCTCGGACGCTCCTCTGAACTGCTTAGCGGCCTACGAAGCGTCAGGGGAGGGGGTTGGGCCGCATATAGTGCATCCGACCTTAGCCTCCTCCCGACGTCAGGGGTGGGGGTGGACTGTATATAGTGCATCAGACCTTAGCCTCCTCCCGACGTCAGGGGTGGGGGTGGACTGTATATGGTGCATCAGACCTCGGCCTCCCCCTGACGTCAGGGGTGGGGGTGGACTGTATATAGTGCATCAGACCTTAGCCTCCGCCCGACGTCAGGGGTGGGGGTGGACTGTATATAGTGCATCCGACCTTAGCCTCCTCCCGACGTCAGGGGTGGGGGTGGACTGTATATAGTGCATCCGACCTTAGCCTCCGCCCGACGTCAGGGGTGGGGGTGGACTGTATATGGTGCATCAGACCTCGGCCTCCCCCGACGCAGGGGTGGGGGGGTGGGTGTGGACTGTATATGGTGCATCAGACCTCGGCCTCCCCCCGACGTCAGGGGTGGGGGTGGACTGTATATGGTGCATCAGACCTCGGCCTCCCCCTGACGTCAGGGGTGGGGGTGGACTGTATATGGTGCATCAGACCTCGGCCTCCCCCAGACGTCAGGGGTGGGGGTGGACTGTATATGGTGCATCAGACCTCGGCCTCCCCCTGACGTCAGGGGTGGGGGTGGACTGTATATGGTGCATCAGACCTCGGCCTCCCCCTGACGTCAGGGGTGGGGTTGGGTCATGCACGGTGCAGCCGACCTCGACCTCCTCCCGACGCTGCGTCTGACCCCCGTCTATCCCCGCTGGTCACTTATCGAAATTCAATACGGGGAGGGCAAACACGGGACACGGACGGCGCTCGCGGCTCGACCGGCTCGGCGGGCGGGTCAGAGGCGCCGGAGAGGGGAGAGTGCCAGGCCCGGAGACCGGCCTCTGCCGACAGCACGCTTCGGACTACCGGCCGGGGCAGGGGCACGGCTGCGAGGCTGACCAGCTTTGGGTACAGATGCTTCATGTAGTTAATGCTGAAAAGAAAGCAGGTAGCGGGAAAGATCCCACTGCCAGTGCTTCAAGGTCGATTCTCGTGCGATTCAGCACGAGTTCTAGTCCAGTGGAAGCGGGAGTCAGTGGCCACACACATTTCTCGTGAACGAGCATGGAAGTCTGCGATGATTTAGTGCAGGCGGAAAACCGTTTATCCGTTGCCGTCGACCCTGTCACATTGTACGGTTCTCGCTGTCGGCCCGTCGCCAAGCTCCCTGCGCCGCTACCGGGTATGAACTTGACATGCCCAAGTGGCTCGTCTGGTGACGATCGGTGCGACGGTGACGGTGCGATCGGTGCGACGGTGACGGTGCGATCGGCGCGACGGTGACGGTGCGATCGGTGCGACGGTGACGGTGCGATCGCGGCGCGCGCGCGCAGTCACTCGCGACAAATCGTCCAACGAGCGGCAATATCTCGCGCGTGCTAAGCACACCACGCCCCATTAAATATTTGGGTCCGGCGCTGGAGTGGCCGAGCCTGGGACGCGTTTGTCAGGTGTTTCTGCTCTAATCAGCAGTCAGGTGCGCGCAATTGGGGCAAGTGCGCACGCTGCGGCGGCGAGGTCAGCGCACAGGTGCACCTGCGTGGCGACCGGGCGGGCGCACCCACGCCCCGAAGGAGTGTGGACGCTCGCCAGCTTTAGGAGCTGATTTGGCGATTTGGGCTGTAGTGCCCACGCGCTCAGAAGTAACGGATGGAAATGTAGGTGCTTGGATGCATAGGCGAAGGGAAGGGTGAGGTGTGCGACTTAAACCACTCTTGAAGCCACGTGTTAAAACATTTTTGGCGGCATCATTATGCAGGAAAGAAATGCAGTATTCATACAGTTCAGTAACAGGTGAAGCTCCTGAAGAGGCCATCTCATTTTACCCCATATCTGCCTTATCGTGAATGCCATCAAAATTCAAATGGCTTTGTGAGGCGTAAGGCATCCATGTCATTAGCGAAATGGGCACCATAAGATTGAAGAAGTCTACCTGGGAGTCTGCCTGTCTAAGAAAGTCTACCTTGCAGAGAACTGGGCTCCTAAGAACGAGCCAACATAAAGGGGTTAGGCATGCAGTCTAAGCAGGATAACGTTAGTCCCCATACACAGTTTTATTGGGCAGTTGCACAGTGATGCACACTTGATCGTGACTGTTTAAAAAAACGGACTTAATGCAAACATATGCGAAGGCTTGCAGCGTACGTGAGCAATCATAGATAGGCTGCAATAATTATTTCGTCACAGCACCCAACCGAAAGATAAGTAAAACAAACTTCACTGGAGATGTTACGCATCTAACCTTCGCTTACCATCCAAGGACCGAAATGAAGCCTTGAAGCAAAGCCTTTTGAGTCGTTTCACAGTTAGAGCCCAAAGGTATTTATAAAACAAAAATTATTTTCGGTGGTTCATTTCTTATGCTGTTCAAGCCTTCTCACCTTACGCTAGTTGTCAGCAAATTACGTTTTCTAGCATGTGTCTGTCGCAATTTCGATCCATGTCGTTGACCAAACGATGCTTTGTCTTAGCTTTGTGTAGCACACATTTGCTTTGTTATGGAATGGAGCTAACCTGCAAATATATTAATGGCACCACGACATTCAACTTTCTGAAGAAATAACGCCACAAACGTCATTAGTTCTTCGCACTGTATTTTGTTCAGCATTTGTGGCGCCTAAAGCATTACACACTGTTTGGTAATTCTGCTTGATCTGCATGTCGAGGAGCATGACAATAATTTTTTATCACAAGTGAGCTCACAGTGGTTCATTACAGATCATGCCTCGCATTTGCAGCAAGGTGAGCACAAAGAGGCTTCGCGACAGAAAAAAAAATCGACAGTCAGGAAGTGAAAATGTAAGCACTCAACGTCGCCACACTTTCATACACCACACTTTCTATGCTGTTCTCATCCCTTATTCGCGACTCATTGCATTGTTTCAGTAACAAAACCAAAAACCAAGGCACTTCAGGATCGTGTCTTGTAAGTGCATGGTTCGGAGATGGTTCAACTTGGGGCTCAGCTTTAGATTCGTGAACTATTCATGAGCAGGAAGTATGGGTGACTCTGTGCCGCTTATGGTACGCATGTTCCTGCTGATACTACTCAGAAAACCGTCGGTTCGTGATTTTGTTTCATGAAGAGCTGTGGTTGGTGTTCAAGTCGACGCATTTCGTTGGCGGATGTCCGCAAGGTAGGGTGAGTTTGATGTCAGCGCCGTTGGCTAACTCTCGCAGGTAGACCAATGGGTCAGGATAGGTGTTACACCGCAATTCCTCGATCTCGATGAGGCTCGGTCATCAGCCGGGAAGCACCCTGCCATTGGCGGGTCTGCACCGTGGACTGCCTCCCCCCCCCCCCCCTTCCTCTCCCCGCCAGGGCTCCAGCTGCGACACTCACCTGGCTGTGAGCTTGTTGATGACGTGCTCGTGGTTTCGGAAGCAGCCAGTGCCCGTGTCGCCCTTGGTGCTGTTGGTGACGCTACCCTCACCGATGCTCATGTTATGCCCTGCGGGAGCGTCGGGGTCAGGTCAGGGTCGGGGCAGACAAAGGCTGAGTCGCGCCGTCATACGACGGCCGCCACACGTCGGTCACCACACGACCGTCACCAAACGTCAGTGATCACACGACAGTCACCACACGACCACACGACCGTCACCACACGACCATCACCAAACGTCAGTGATCACGCGACAGTCACCACACGACCACACGACCGTCACCACACGACCATCACCAAACGTCAGTGATCACGCGACAGTCACCACACGACCACACGACCGTCACCACACGTCGGTGACCACATGACGGTCACCAAACGTCGGTGACCACATGACGGCAGCCACACGTCGGCCACCACACGACCGTCGCCACACGACCGTCGCAACACGACTGTCACCACACGCTTTTTCGGGCGCGGCGGTGACAGCGCTGAGCTCCGTCCCTGTCCCAGTCCCAGTCCGCAGTCTGACAGGTGCTGCGGCCTTTCCCTGTCAAACTGCTGACTGCCGGGGACTGCGACCTTTCCCTGTCAGACTGCTGACTGTCGGGGACTGCGGCCTGCCCCTGCCAAACTGCGACTGTCAGGGGCTGCGGCCTGCCCCTGCCAGACTGCGGCCGTCAGGGTCTGCGGCCTGTCCATGCCAGACTGCGGACTGTCAGGGGCAGGCCGTCAATGCGACCCGGCAGTCGCATTGACTGATGCGACTGTCTCTACTTGGTTATTGTCCTCCGTTTCAGCCGGCGGCAGCGGCCGTGAGTGCTGACGATTCGCCTTGCATAGGAGCGTTTACACAGCAAACACCCGGACACGCTGAGCCGCCGGCCGCTCCTGGAGCTTGTCGCTAAGCATGACAGCCGCTCCATAGCATCTCTTCCCAAGCTGCGCCGAATCATCACTATCTTTTGAACACGTCCATGTTTGAAAGCGACCATGTCAAGTCTCGCTGACAATGATCAATGCAATGCTTTCAGGGCGATGTTTCTTTCTTTTTTATAAGTTAAATACACATGGTGTGCATGAGCGACCTTGGGTGCGCGGTATCTCCAAAGCATAGCCTGTTGCGTGTGCCCTGAACTCACCACCCAAGTTGGGCCGTCCAGTTGAACGGAAAATTTTGTCTCCGCCCTTTAACCAAAGGATTGCGAAGGGTTTTACGTGTCGCACAATGCTGTGGCACGGCCGCCGCAGGCCGGGTCTGAGCCTCGTTGGCTAGCTTCCAGCTGATGTTTCTATTACAGTCGGGTCAAACAATGCACTCTCTGGAACACCGCTGGACCGCGAGCCCATCATCTTCACTCTAGACCACGGGATCGGAATATTGTGGGTTGTGCTACCTCCAAGCTGATTGAGCGTCCATGTCATTCCTTTCCAGGCGGGCTCCACGCCGGCTCTCAAGCAAAGTGATGACGAGAGGCTTTCGAAACTTCTGGTCGGGCTGGCCAGGGCCGTCCGGGCAAAATCCCGTGCCACAAAGATCCTGCGTCACTTCACGGCACTTATCTGCGCTGCGAACACGGCTGAGGACCGCAGATCCGGCGCATCATATCAGATTTGCGCGCGTCGCGTGCAGCGTAAGCCACGATAGGACGACCATCAAGGTCATGTGCCTGAACCCAAGAGCATAATGACTTCCGTTCCGGCCTGCTTCGCTCCGTGGACCCTTATAAGGGCCCTCTCGATCTCGAGCGGCGCCGCTCGAACTTAAGGTCTTATAAGGCCTTAAGCTCGAGCGGCGCCGGGCTAAGGCCGCTCAGATCCCGGGGGTTAAAAAATGATCGGCTGGCCGCGATGCCTCAGCCTTTCATGGTCGCCGGCTGACCATAAAGAACCTAATTACTTTGCGGCACTGTTAATCATGGCCGGGACCACGGAGTATTTGAGCGCTTTCGCGTCCTACAAAGGCACGTCTTTCAGGCATTCATTAATAAGAAGGGATCGATCAGGGCGCGATGCCCGCGACAGTCACGGCCGGTGACGTGCGGACAAAGCTGACATGCTGGCTTATGAAGCTCCTACGCTGCGCCTCATTGTAGGCATTGGAGCATTGGATTACCAGCAAAATGTCTGATTTCGGTTTCTGGTAGAAGCCAACATTAGTGTCAACGTTCAACTGCAAGCAGCTTGGTGACTTAGCCACCACGATTTCTTTAATGCTGTTTTCTTTTGGCGGGTTGCGAGAAACACAGCTACCCAACCGCGACTACACTCTCGGTCTCATGCCTGCCTAATGCACTGCATGGCCCACGCGCTCCCCACCAACGACAAAAGGATTTACGGCAACAAGCGAAAGGACAACTCCCGAGCTTCTGAGGAATTTAACGTCACGCCCAACGCAGTGCGTGGGAAGAGACGTATTGCGATTTTTGATGTCCTTCTCCACCTTTACACCCGTACCGGAGTCCGTGGTGCGCCCGGAGGCGACAAACACACGCCCGGGTGGTCGGTTGAATACCACACGTACGGGTGGAGAGTTGATTTGACCCACTGAGATCTAAAAAATATTAGTTATCATCAATAAAAAGTTAGAGATACTTAACTTACAGAAAGGATTGACGTGTCTGTGAACTCACTTTTGTCAAAATGTTAGGTTTACAGATTATGACCTCTGGGTCAAAAAAGGTAAAATATTACTTAACTCCATGATGGTGTCCAAACTACCCCAGGCCTCCTCATATAACCACCTGGAATACAGATACCTCTTCTAAGTAAAATATTAGTGGCGTTAACTTTATGTCCGTGACCTTTTTTGACCTTGAGAGTGTCCTGACACTCAACATCGTAAGAGAATGTTTTCATTTTTTAGTTTGAAAGGCGTCAAGGATTATGCTAGGTGATACGTTCCTAAAAACAAAAGACTGATCTCGGTCATATAAGGTCGGTGTCCTTCTCTGACCTTAAAGAAGTCCAAGGTAGATGTCTGTTGCCCTCCCTGTTATCGAGAAAATCCAAACAGGCATTAGGAACTACCCCATATAACAAGCTGCCCAATAAAACCGAGGGCTGGCTTTGACCTCTCTCGGACCTTTGTGCCTGACCAAAGGACAATGGAATTTGTCGTAATCCCAAGCTCAAGCGGCTTATTGTTCAAGATGCTATCTCAGAGAGGTCTGCTTTCGTCTATCACACTGTTGTCGCATAAGATGCTTCGTTGCTAGCCATTGTTTGACTTTGGCTTGTCTTATGTCAGCGACCTTACAAGTCAGGAGAGAGAAGTGAAAGTCGCATTAGTTTTTGCCCTGAGCTCCCTCCAGCTATCACTAGTGAGGATAGCACTAAGATTATTACAGCTGCACGCAGCTACATGCAGCATCTGTACTTCAGCTTCCTATGCAGGGGCAAAGTTTTGGAGAGCATGCCTTTGTATTTTTGTAAATAACTTCTGAAAACCTCCATTCAAATCGGACAATTTGCCCCACTCTGGGGTAAATTTTATCACGTGGCGGGGAAAGTTGTACTTATGCCATTTCTTGTCGTAGAGGAAGCTGCATCGCACGCAAGCTAGGTGCGCTAAGACATGTAAGAGTAAATGTGCTCGTCTGTGCTGATTCGTAATACGTCGTGAATGCGACGTGGCATGTTGTTGCCCTTTCTATCAATAAGAGTTTCTATTACAATTGTCACATTGGTTTCGGTCGCTTGGGTGGAAACCACGGTTCTACCTAGGTAATGTAGCTGTCGACTTGCTTGCCGGCCATCTTTCCATCAATGTCACTGTCATTAATTTTCGTGTAGTCTACGGCAGCAATCGCAAAAAGATAGTGGAAGTGCCTCGCAGCCCATCACAACGACTCAACAGCTTTTTTTTCGAAGCCAACTGCTCAGCTTAGTTCCCATGCCCGCTGACTGGATTTCGTCCTCGCACATTGCCACGTGTATCAACCTCGCAAATGGCCAGCTAAATATAACAAAATATATCCTGATATAACGGGTTTTATGGGTGCTCGGCCGGCATAGGGTGGAGCTCTTTCATCTCTTCTGAAGGGCAATAACTTAATGTTTACTATCTGGCCTATTGACTCTCCGTTGGTACAATCAGGATCTTAGCTCTCAAAATCCGGCCCTCTCTTCCGCCCACTCCTTCATAAATCTAGAAAATTTCTGAAAGCAGCCAGTGGTCAAAGCATAACAACATGTCCAAAAGTAAGTGATGCTCGATAGACCAGGACCACCGGGCGTTCGGTGCTTTTACTTTACAACTGGCCTCGTGCTGCCTCAGTTTACGATTGGCAAACCCGTTGTTGGTGACAATCGTAAGATTTCTGGAGCCTCCATTTGCCCGTTTTCATGGTTGCATTGTTCTGCAGCATTTGCAACAATTTGGAATATTGGTTTCTGGAGGTCTTGTAACCAGATGAGCATCACCGAGTTTACATTAGCGCTGATGAGCCTACACATCTTAACTGACAATTCCACACCGGGTCTCGTGGTCTTGTGTGTTCAGAGGTGCAAAGCACCCACTATCCATGAGCTGCAGTGGGCTCGCAACGCATGCGCAACGAAGTTACAGCACGAATGTCTTCGCCAAAATCACTTAATCCATAACAAGACTGAGGCCAGGCCACAATCCAACTGAAAGCACGGGGGGCAAACATTTTACATTGGGCTTGCAATGTGGCCACACGTATTTTTACGACCATATGCCATCTGTATTGAAGGGCTTTGGAATCACCGGAGGCCGACAGGTCGTTTTAAAGGTATTTATCACCATTTCTCATTGGTGTTGGTGTGTTGCGGTGTGTAACCCAGTGGTGGAACTACTGAGAATGATCGGGGAAGGGAACAGTAGAACTGAAATACTTTGTCCTTGACACCACCACGAACTACGGCTAAAATCAATAAACACGGGGAACTGAACTCAAAGAAAGTTCCACCAATGCTTTAGAGTTTGAACGAGCTACGTGTCTGTTCCTAGAAAGCTGTGTGTGCTGGACCAGCAAACCATCATTACCGGATGGGCCAACACATAGCAGGTACGTGAGTCACACAGAATACACCAAACTCACACA